TTCAGTCATTCTGGCGTTCTGGTTACTTAGGCTTTTATATGTATAAATTTTTCATGCCATAGGTTTATTTACAAGCACATCAAGTGTGTTGAGTTCAACAGTCTGATTCATTTTTCAAAGAGACTGCACCCCTTAAACTTTATATCTTTTTTATGGATCAACTAAAACACTTTATTTCTTAAGTAGTTAGTGTTTTACTATAAAGAAAGGTGCAGCAAATCCAGATTCAAAATATGTAGTGATTATAACTAGTAACTTGCTTTCCACTGAAAATGGCAAGTTCTTTTCTGGGTCCTCATAGTGATGCCTGCAAACACAGAGATTGTGAACTGCCAAATGCTCTGTCCCAGTAGAATGTTGTCAGGAGCTCTGCAAAAGACTCAGAGACTGAAGGCGGAGGAAATGGCAGTATCACATCAAGTCCTTTTTTTTTTTCACTACAATGTTGTTTATTTTACACACACACACACACACGCACACACGCACACACACACACACCATGCACACACTTTATAAAACTATAAACATATTTTCTTTTAAGAAAATTTTAAAAATAAAGAAAGGCAGCAATGAATAATGAAAAATAATATGTATTCTTGCCAGGAAGGGATGCACATTTTGCGTAGTTCCTTTTTCTATTTATGTGCATATGTAAATATATATGTACATGCAGTATCTTATGTATAACCTTGGATCTTATTCCATTTAACATTTTTAAAGTATTTTTTCAGAATATGATTTTCTAATGTGAATTTAAAGTAACTTTAAGCAATTTTTATTCTTTTTTGAAAAGCTTTTTATTATAGAAAAAGTGTAATATATGGCAAAACAAAATAAAACCTAGCGCAATAAAACCATTACCCAGCTTCAATAATGATCAACTCAAGGACAATTCTGTTTTACCCACACCCCTACCTCCTGTACCCTCCTCCCCCAATGTTATTTTGAAGCCAAACCCAGATATCGTATAATTCAATCTCTAAATATTTTATATATATTAAAATATAATATAACATAATATATATAATAAAATATAATATATATATTAAAAACCCTAATATTATCACAATACCATTCCCACTCCTAAATAGAATTTTAATATTTTCTTAATATAATTAAGTATAGAATCAGTTTTCAAATTTCCTGTAAAGTCATTATATATTCTTGGTAATAGAATATTCATAAGGGTGTACTACAAAGGAATAAGCAGCCACAGACTTTTCTTTTATTGACAAATACAAGAGTTAGGTACAGAATGAGACAATACATGGGAACATGAGCCTATGGTCAGTTGCTCTGTCACTCAAATTTGGGGAATCTCTCTCAGGCACAGGAGTAGGCAGAGGAGGGAGCAGAGTAGGTAAAAGCAACACTTTTCCTCTCATCATGCTAATTTCTCCCCCATTATATAGGACCTTATTAATGGGAGATTCAGCTGGCCACCACCACCTTGTGCAGTTTGGGAAAGTGGGAGAGTCTTTCTCTACTGGCTTGGGAAAGGCCAACGCATTCATGTGACTGCCACAAAGGAAGAAACAGGGTGATAGGGAAGAAAAGGAGACATGAATCAAATACTCTGTATAACTTGGTTTATGGTTGCTTCATTTGTGAAAGGGTAGATACCATAGGGGCACTCTGGGAGAAAGTCAGTACACAGTTTCTTTCTAGTGCCTGCCCAGGTTTTCAGCTCCCTCAGAAATGTATAACAGGCAGTATCACAGTTTCTGATCCAAACTCTTTCGAGTTTAATAAGTGGTCACAATCCAGCCAAGAACACAGGTTCATTCCAGAGTTGGGGACAACTACTTGCTTTACTCTTGTTATCCATCTAGTAAAACTTTTGTTGAGGGTCTATAATCTAATTTGTACATACATAGAACAGAGCTCAGTTCCATCCAACTATAGATCCAACTGTCCTAACCTCATATCACCTCATAGTTGCCATTCTTGCCAGGAGAGAACATTAGCTTGAGTTAAAGTAATGCTGAACACAAATCTTTCTCAGTAATATTTTACAGTATCTTCATAGACTTAGTGGACAATATTTTTCACTTGTCTATGCAAAGCCATCCCAGTATTCTTGGAAGGTGGAGATAAATGACATCAGAACTGCTCTCAAGGACACTAGTGTGGTTAATGACCCTTCACTTCTTTCATTTCTCTATGTCCCTGGCCTGTTGTTGGGAACATTCTATGGGCCAAGAAGAGATGGAAGAATGATGGCTCCCAGAGGAACATCCTCTGAAACTCTTTTTTTAAAAAAATGTGTTTTTATTGATTTCAGAGAATGGAGAGGGAGAGAGAGATAGAAACAATAATGATGAGAGAGAATCATTGATCATCTGCCTCCCCCACACTCCCTACTGGGGATCCAGCCCGCAACCTGTGCATGTGCCCTTGAATGGAATAGAACCTAGGACCCTTCAGTCTGCAGGCTTGATGCTCTATTCACTGAGCCAAGCCCTGCTCAAGGATCCTCTGAAACTCTTGATACACACCAGTTTTATTTAGCCTTCAGAAAAATCTTATTCTATTTTATTCAATTATAGTTTACATTCAATATTATTTTGTATTAATTTCAGGTGTACAGCATAATGATTAGACAATCATATATTTAACAAAGTGTTCCCCTTGGTAAGTCTAGAATTTACCTAGTACCATACATAGTTATTAGAATACTAGAGGCCCGATGTACAAAATTTGTGCAAATGTAGGCCTTCCCCCAGCTTCTGGCACCAGCTTCCTTCTGGCACCCGGGACCCAGCTTCCCTCCGGCCACCAGAAGGCACCTGGGACCCTGGTTTCCCTTATAGACCTGGCTTTGTCCAGAAGGTTGTCTGGAAGGACGTCCGGAAGGACCATGGGTCTAATTAGCATATTAAGCTTTTATTATTATAGACTAGAGGCCCGGGGCACAAAATTTGTGCGGGAGGGGGGTCCCCTCAGCCCAGCCTGCACCCTCTCCAATCTGAGACCCCTCGGGGGACATCCCTCTCACAATCCTGGACTGCTGGTTCCTAACCGCTCACCTGCCTGCCAGCTTGATCACCCTTCACTGCCCCACCGCCAGCCTGGTCACCCCCAACTGCCCCCAACACTGGCCTGGTAACCCCTAACTGCCCACCCCTGCCGGCCTGGTCAGCCTTCACTGCCCCCCCACCACCACCACCGGCCTGGTTGCCCCACATAGCTTGCTGCTCTATATATTAGGATTATTGCCCTAGCTTGTTTGGCTTAGTGGATAGAGTGTCGACCTGTCGACTGAAGGGTCCTGGGTTTGATTCCAGTCAAGGGCACATGCCCTGGTTGCAGACATGATCCCCAGTAGGGGGCATACAGGAGGCAGCCAATCAATGATTCCCACTCATCATTGATGTTTCTATCTCTCTCTCCCTCTCCCTCCCTCTCTGCAATCAATAAAAATATATTTAAAACAAAAAAGAATATTATTGACTATATTTCCTATGCCATACTTTACATCCCTTATGGCTATTTTGTAACTACCCACTTGTACTTCTTAATCCCTCATCTTTTACATTCAACCCCTTAATCCCTCCTCACTCTGGCAACTGTCAGTCTGATCTCTGTAGCTATGAGTCTGTTTCAATTTAGTTTGTTCATTTACTTTATTCTTTAGATCCCACATATAAATGAAATCATATAGTATTTGTCTTTATATGATTGACTTATTTCATATAGCCCAGTCGTGGGCAAACTAGGCCCGCGGGCAGGATCCGGCCCGATCGGCTGTTCTATCCGGCCCCCGGAGCCAAAAGAGCGGAGGGTTCTCTTGCTCTCCCCTCCGCTCCTTCACCAGCAGCAGTGTTAACATGGCAACGTCGGAAACCCCGCTGCAGCTCCTTCTTCTGAGTGGGTGGATTTATATCCGCCCATTCAGTAGAAGGAACAACCTCTCGATCTTCCAGAGGCTCCTTGTAATGCCCGCGGACGCGTCTCCCCACATCACCCTG